AAACAAACAAAATGTCGAGCAAATACGCTGATTTAATCGGGATGTTCGGATGCCACTAGTTGGTGAGCCCTGCCTTAGAGTCTTCAGTTTGTTATAATTTGCACTTGACAGCAGTGTGCAGCTGCGCTGCATCGCACCAGAGAGCCACTTCTAATATTTTGACCTGAGCTGACATGAGGAAGTCAAGTGAGGTGGTATCGCACCTGCATGGGCGTCTCTCGACTCAACCACACAAGTCGTTTGTGTGTGCCCATTGCAGGGGAAACCAAACCTAAGCCAGTTGAGCTTGTTGGGCCGGTCTGTCAGAGGGGCGAGCCAGCCTCATCTACCTCTGTGAACACACAGACACACACACAAGCCCACTGGCATGTCAGGCCTCCCCACCCCTTCAAGCATGCGCCAGTACACAAAACACAGGGTGCGTCCTTGTTATGAAGAGGATGGTGATGAGGATGATGATGGTGGCGAGACCACGCACTTACGTGCAGTGTGGCTAAATCCCCCCTGCGTGCGTGTGCACGGCAGGCAGGTGACGTGCGGGGAGCAGGTTAGGTTTTGGATACCAGCCCACGTCTTCTATAATTAGCAGGCACACAAATGGACTCCGCGACCCCTCCGCTGGCTCTTTTTTTTCTCTGGCTCTCCCTCTACTTCTCACCTGGTTGATAAATTTATGCTTCAAACTATCACGCAACGGAGCACACGGCCACTACCGTGGAATAGTAAATGGACCCGTGACGTCGCTCGCGAGTCCTCCCGTGACCCTGCTCTGAAGCTAAAGGAGGAGGAGGTGAAACAGGCGCGGACATATACGTGCTGTATGTACAATATACGAACATCTCTACAAATAAATGAATTCAAACACAAGGAAGGTGTTTGAGTTGAAATGTTCGCACTCACCTGTGTGTCACCTGTCCGGTGACTCGTCGCCTCCCACCGCTCACTTCCTGGTTCGTGTCGACCCGAAATGCCAACTTCTTCCTCGTGTTGTTTTTTTGTTTTTGTTTGTTGTTTGTTTGTTTTTTAAGTTCTTCAATAAATTAATATAATCCACCCGCGAGGTCCACAGCCTTCGCTTCAGATCACAACTTTGGTCACACGGTGTCGCGTCCACATCACCGGTCAAAGCCCCCACCCACTCGCCGGTGACACTGCCTCCTCTGGCCCACTCCAACTCCTCCTGCTCCGCCTTCCGAGAACCAGGAAGCGGCTTGGCCTACTTAACGCCCCGCCAAGCGCCGATTGGCTTCGGTGGCGTGGGAGAGGAGATCGCCGGCGGTGGTGGGCAGGACCCTGGGGCAGGCGGAAGCAAGAGGGAGGCGGGCCGACCAACAGGCCCGATGGGAGGCAGGGGAAGAAGACAGGTGGGCGGGATTGTAGCATCAGGTGGATGTTGAGCAAAATGACCTGAAAAAAATCTATTTTATCAGATTTTACAAGGTTCTGGATGAAATTGAATGAACATTAGAAGTCAAATGTTAAGTGTCTGCCAGTTAGAGGACAAGCAGCTCCTTTATGTTGCTGAACTGTGGTAGCTACTGTTACTGTATTAATAAACAACACTTGACCAACTAAACCGCAAAAAAATATTCGTTTCATGTTCACGCAGTGACTTGTGTGCCAGTATCAATATATTAGTGGTATTTGAATGTTGGGGCGCACTTTTGACAAGACTCAACCCATTGGCTGTGGATGGTAGGATAAGCAATTATATATTATTATATATATATCCATAAATGTTGGCTATTGCCTAGATTTTCGTATTACCGGTAAATTGTTTTCGCTTTCATCTCGAAAATAAACAAACTCACACTCTGTGGGTGGTGAGATTAATTTTAATATCGTCTGTGGTATGAACAGCAATAGTTAAAAAAAAACGCGACTCATTCATCTCAGACAAGACACATACAGGAATGTATTTAGAGGAATAAATGTTGCATTGTGTTTCATGCAGACAATAGAGAGTCGGTTTGATGTGGTCTTGAGTGGGAATCTCTGCTTTTCTCTCTAAGTTTGAATTCTCGTCTCTCTCTTCCTTGGTGGGTTCCAAAGTTAGAGTGCAGGAAGTGGTGAGCTCCACTAGCCCACTTTCTATACCACCCCCTCCTTCACACAAAATCTCTGCTTGTTCTGCGCGTGTGCTGCCAAATGTGTACACACTTGCCAAAGTCTTGTTTAAGACCTACGCAAAGTTGATTTCTATAAGTTATTGTTTAATTATTCTTTTGTAAAGAGACTTCAAGATGATTGATGCAGCTCAGAACAGAAGCACAGGTGCCTTCACCATGATGCCTACGGGAACTAACCCAGTAGCCCCCAAGGACCACGTGAGCCACCCATGAGCCAGTTTGAAAAAAATAGTTCATAAGACAGTGATTTCCAAAGAATGTCGTAGAAGCGAAGCGAAAAAGTACGTCGGTTTCCGAATGCGCCTTCTGGGTCTTGTGCGCCGTTCGAAACGGCGTTTGTAGGGTCGGAGGAAAACCAAGACATCCTGGACCTGACAGCAAGTGGGTCTAATGAGCAGAACGTTGTCGCCATCTAGCGATGACTGACATTTAAAGCACACTACCGAGGCTTCCAGCATGATCGGCACTTGCCTTTTAATGCCATAAAACGTCCTTGCATGACATGTTTGGTGTTATGCGTGATGAATTTGCGTGGTGAAACTCACCAGGTCCAAATCAAACAGCGACTGAACGTAACTCCAACGTACCACGATGCCTCTTATGTGGCAACTGTAAAAAGTCATCATGCCCTCGAGAGCGGCAGGTTAAATAAGTGCGCTGCTCACTGGTGAAGGAGGATATTCATTTACGTGGAGACGAAATGGGACAGATTCAAGAAAACCACCTTGGATACAAGCGAGGCGGCCCTGCTGAGAGGCGCCGAGATTAACTGGGAAATGAAGGCGACAAGAGGCAACGCGGTGCTGAATGAATCCGGCTGCTCGTGGAAATCAACTCCCGAGTACAAGGTCACCGTGGAGCTGCAATAAAAGAGAGAACTCAAACGAAAGCAGAGAACAAGGCATCAAATCGCCTCGTGTGTTCAACGTGAATTCACGTGGATCCAATGTTAACCTAAAATGATTACAAACTGAATACAGTGGTTCCTCTACTTACGAATGTCTCTTCATACGAAATTTTCAAGTTACGAAACCTCTCAACAGGAAAATATTGCCTATTGTTACGAAAGAAATTTCAAGATACGAAAGGTAAAAAAAATAAAATACAGTATGGGCTGCAACTTGCAGCTCCGAGTTTCCTGAACGCAACATACTCATAGATGCTCTGCTATTGGCTATGACCGAGCCAATTAGGGCATTTACGTGGAAAACGCCTCTACTTACAAATTTTTCTAGTTCAGACATTTCTTCCAGAACCAATTAATTTCATGAGTTGAGATACCACTGTATTGAAGACACCTTGCAGAAGTGTGGGGCAGTAGTTTTCGCCACAAATGAGTTCACACTTCATGCACTGCATAGGAGGCCTACTTTAAAGTCACTGATATACATGTTTTCGTGTGCTGATACTTTTGCTTAGTTTGGCATTTTAAGCATGCTGTATGTGAAAGGGTAGTACAAATAGTTCACTTCATGCATAGCATTTATGTCAAATCATCCATCCATGGTTTGGTGTTGTTTTACCTGAAATTGGAAGCAATGGTGGCGTGTCAGCACAGTCCCGTCACTTCCAATCCGGCGCTGCCAGCAACCATTGTTGTCCCGACACATTAATTATGCATGCAAGGAAAGCAAGGCACAAACATACTCAAATAAGCACATGGCCCCAACACCTTCCACGGGATGATATCTAAAGCAGCTTTATTCTTATTATAGAGTCACACATACAACAGCATCATGACAATCTGTTCCTCCCGCCACTCTGACATGGAACTGCTCTTTTTTGTTGTTCGTTTGTTTTTTACTCTAGAGTTGTGATAAATAGAAAATCAACCATTTTGGTCCTTAAATATAGATCTCGTCTAGGCATCGTGGTATCCTTGTTGCTACCCACACAGAACATCAAACGTGAGTGGAAATGGGAGGGAAAGCGAGCCCGCAAAACAAGTAGGAGGCCGCCGCCCGCGTGATGAACAAGAGGCTGGCGGGGTGTCGAGGAAACCGTGAGCGGCGTCAAAAGGAAGCGTTTGCCTGCCGAGCTGTGAAATCACATGAAAGCTGCGCGGACAGACATGAAAAGCCAGAGTGGAAGGCGGCCGAGCGGGCACGTATTTACAAAGCAGCCAAAGCAAAGTCAGCCACAGTGAACAGTGCAGATGCAGTGAAAGACTACGATTGACACAAGTTGCCTGGAGGGAAGTTCAAAAGTTTGCCGCATATGAAAAAAAAACTAAACACACGCACACACACACTTGGGACGAAACAAAATTCATGTTTGTGTACTGCTCCTAGCTATTCACGCGTAGCGATCTTTTTCGTTGTTATTATTACACTTTGATGAAGACGGGAGGCAAAAGGAAGCAGTGTCTATTGCCCGTACGCATTTGCTCGCTCCTTTTCCACACAAATCACATTTTCATATCTTCATAGTTTCAGTACAGTGACGTACAGTACTGTGCATAAGTCTTGGGTCACATTTAAATTTCTTGGTTCTGACCCGTGGTTGACAAAACTCTTTACATCGAGTACCACCACAATGACCAACATTAAAATACAGCTTATCGAGGTTTCCTAAAAAGTATATTGAATATTTTTTGTTATCCACTGTCACATTATGCTCACGTTTGCGTAGTAGTACGACACTGAAATGTAAGAAAATGAAAAACTTACGTAAAGATTCAGTTAAAACATATTTGCTCAGAAACACAAGAGGGAACCCACGTACCACGTGTGTAACACGTCATACCGCATTTTAACAATCACTGGTTTGAGACCACGCAAAATTATCTCCGAGCAATGGCCTAGCAAGGGTTGTCAGTGCCAGAGGTGGGTAGAATTATTTGTGACTTTTTTATTATTGTTTGTTTTTTTAAATCCTTAATTTGTCCATATATCAATTTTCTCGAGTGCTTGTTCTTATTGGGGTCTCAGATGCGTTTGGAGGGGCGACGGACAAGGTGCACTGGTCGCCAGCCAATGGCACGGCACGTGTGCCCAAACAACGATTCACCCTCGCAGAGACAGGTTGGAAGCCGGAATACCCGCAGAAAAATGTAAAGCCAAGATAACCAACTCTGAACCTCAGAATTAGGTCGACGTCTTTACCGCTATTTGATCTCAATAACAAAAACGAAACAGTTACTTGCTAAAAATCCAAGAACGAAACAAGTCTACTAAAACAGATGTCAGAGTTGCTAACAGTCGGTTGGTCAAATGATCGCATCGTTCACCGTGTGTTTTTCTTTTGGTTTCTGTTTTGTCCATTTTTTTATACATTCAATATTTCCAATTAAACAATGCGCTTACATTCAAGCAATCGTAACGTCGCTGTACTGTAGATCACCGAAACATCAACGCTGGAAGTGTCCAAACACTTGTGCACAGTATTGGAAGCTATTTCACATGTATTGCTGTTTTCATCCACCAGGGAATGCAAATGGAGCAAATTCCCCACCCACTGTTGGTTCTTTGCTTCCGCATCCCTGCCCCGAGCTTGCCCCAACCATCACTGACCCACATTTTGAGTGTACGCCCGTACACACGTTGCATGTCTTCTTCCTTGATGGATGGCCTGGTTGAGTCACACAAACACGTCATGTTCTAAGACAACCACATCCTAGCATGAATGCAAACACCATGAAACTGTCCACGTGAGACTTGATATCTGTCTGTATGTCCGATGTCCTCTTCTTTTTTGCTTTCACATGTTGGCAGGCAGTTTGTGTCTCAGTCCCTCTGAGTCTTTTCTGGCCACTGGCAGCTGGGGGTCGTTTTTCCCGACCTTAGGGGAGGTGTTGTTAGCCGGAGTGGTTGTATGTGTTGATGGGACGGTGGAAGCCTGCAAAGGCGAATGGAGTTTGGAGGGATGGCTCGACGCGACTGCGGTGGCTGCGTTTTGTTTTGGTGGGTGAGTGGATGCGGCGGCAGAGCCACTCGGAGATGTCGTCGCCAAAGAGGGCGGCTTTGTTGAGACCGGGTTTGACTTTGCGGGACGATTCAACGCCGATGTGGTACTCGGGGTGAGCACGGGATGGGTTTGCTTTACTGGGTGAACGGTGAACCGGACTTTGGTGGGGGAGCTCGTGCTCACTGGGCCAGGATTTGAGGGGAGGGGTGAAGCAGGTTTGGGGATCTGGCTGGAAGAGGGGGTCCGGGCGGAACTAAATACAGAAGGCTGCAGACAGGATGTTGGACTTGGGGATTTACTCAGGGAAGGGTTGGATGTTGGCGGTGAAGGCGGCGCGAGTGTCTGGGTAGGATTTGGTGAATAGACCGACGTTAGCGTTGGAGTAGCGGTTTGGGTGGTGGTTGGCGGATGGGTGCGCGCCACCTGGGTGAGAGTTGGGGAAGGGATTGGGGTTGGTGCAGGGCTGGGACCAGACAACGGTGACGCGGTCGGCGGCGTATTGGATGCCTTGACCCGGGCACCTTGCGGGGGGGCTGAGGACACGGCAACCACGGGCGACGGGAGCGAAGAGCTCAGAGACGACTTGGGTCCAAACGTTTGAGGCAGTGGAACTGGAGTGGAAACAGACGATGGCGGAGGGGTCGACGAGGGCGAGGGTGATGAAGAGCGGGGAGAAGGAGTGGCGATTGGTTTGGGACGCGGCGTTGACACGAGTGACAGTGGGGTGGTTCCTGTCATGGGAGGTGTGGAGCAGGGAGGCGGCGAGGACGAGCGGGAAGGTGCATTCAGACTTGGTTTTGGACGGGGCGTCTGCGAGGGCACCGATGTCGGCGACGAGGGTGTGGGTGCGGGTGAAGGTACGGCAGATGGCGGTGTTTGCTTTGGAGAGGAAGCGGGAGACGTCATGTGCGGAGATGTGGAGATGGGCAGGGGGTTCGTGTGAGGGGCACATTGTGTGTACATGGCGGGCTGAATCGGCGGTTGCATTTGTGCGTTGGATGTAAGATTTGCAACGGGCTGCATCGGAGGGTTGGAGGTTAGCATTCCTGCGCTGCCACCTCGAGCTAACTGCCCTGCCAGAAAAGGAGCTGCGAGCAAATTCCCGCCAGACGCCTTCCGATGGAGAGTGGGGTGAGGCTGTAATCCGGCCCAGGAGCGGTGAGGCAGAGTGGGCTGTGATGCAGACAGCAGCCTGGCTTCCTGGGTGAGTCTGCCTAACGCGGGCAGGCCTTGACAACCGTTGCCCCCGTGGCGCAGCAGCGCTTCTTTTGCCCCTTGCTGGTTCGTCATGGAAGTGCTGCTGTCTAACGGGCCAACGCCGGCGGGAGACGGATTGCTGCCCTGCATCTTGGGTATGGATGGAGTTGACGCTCCTGCACCGGTTGGAGTGCCAAGAGCTCCACCAAGTGCTGACGGATAATCAGCCTGGAGGCGCAGGTTGTAGTGAAGAGTCCTTCCTTGTTGGACTGGCACAGAGGAGGCTGCGGCGGGAGGAGTTTTGGCCACCGGTGGGGACGTCAAGCCGCCGAGCGGGCCCATGGTGGAGGGGGAGGCAGGGAACGCTCTGGGGGACAAACCTCCCATCCCGCTCATTGCCATCATTCCGATGAGGGAGCTGACCGAGGGGCGCAGGGGTTGCAAAACGGGAGCCCGAGGAGGCGAAAGCGGAAACGTTGAGGAGGGTGACGGTGAGATCAGAGGCGAGGGCAGGAAGAAAGTGCCCCCTAGTGCTTGCTGCTGCTGCTGCAGCTGCTGGAGCTGGTGCTGCTGCTGCTGCATGAGGGCGATGGCCACGTTGCTGGTCGCGGCGGCCGTTTGCAGCGGGGCATGGACCAGTGGCGCCCAGATGACGGGGCGGGGCCTGGGGGACATTGCGCCACTTCCTCCGATGACGCCGCTTCTTCCCGCCGCGGCTGCCGCGATGGCGTCCTGCATGGCCGGCATGCTGTCGTGCTTGACGATCTGTTGGACCAATATGCTGTCGCAGGAGCCCAGACTGCCCGCTGTCAGGCCACCGCCACCTGCTCCCGGACCTCCGCCACCCCGACCTCCGCCACGGCCCATACTGCCCCCGAGCGAACCTCCTTGAGATGACTTGCGTAGCAGCACAGAGTTCTTCCTGCCTGTCGGGGAACAACGCAAACAAATATTTTTCTCCAATAAATGCGTAAGGCAGTCATGACAAACAACTTGTGCTGCACCGAGTTCGTAAATCCGGCGGGCTGGGCGAGTGGCCACACAAAAAGTGTGACACCGACCAGACCCTGCCCTGATCATCACGTGCTGCCGCCAAGAACTTAATCTGACAACACAGGTCGTAGGGGAGGCGGGACAAAACAAAAAGAGTCCAGGCAGCAGGGAAACCGTTTGTCGGTAGGCAGGACCGTGGGACACAAGCGCAGGTCCGCGCAGGAGGCCCAAGAGAGCGAGAGCACGGTGGCAGGGAGTGAAGGGCATTTCACCTTGTCATACTTTGGTCAATGTCCTAGGAACTAATCTTTGGGCCAAGAGGGGAAAGAAAAGAAAAAAACAAAAAAAAACAAATCGGACACGTCAGACCTTCCTGTGTTGTGGTCGCGAGCCGTCACAGATCGCGTCTGGCTGTTTGTTCTTTGTCTTTTTTGTTTGAAAATAAAGTCGTGTTGAGCATAAATGGAATTAAATGGATCTCTAAAAACCTGTAAAAATGTATGCAGGCCATGACTAACAGCAAACTAAGACTGAAGACCTCCTGGAAAGTTTTTATGATGATCACAGTTTAACCCTGAAGCCGTTATTTCTATGCACATTATTTCCATCAAGAAAATGTGTTCCAAATCCAAATACATCAAAGGTTGTGGTTAGTGAGTGCCCTTTAAATTGGTAGGGTTCAGCTTTTCATCGTTCCGTTTTTCTCTCGTCATTCAAAGATGTGCTCTGACCTTTCTTCAAAGGACGTGGCTCACAATAGTGCCTTAGAATTTGAAAATTGCCGGCCCATAATTGCTGGATTAAGATTAAAAAAAAAAAACATGAAAAAAAAAAGTCAGGAAAGTCAGAAATTACCTATGCGGTCCAATCGGTCGACAGCGACGGTCTCGAAGGCCCGCCTCATCATGGGGTGCTCCTCCAGAACCTCATTAAAGCTGTCCACACTGAGAGAGTACAGACGGCAATATGTGTCTGCACGCACGCTGGCCGTCCTCCGCCCTCGAGTCAACAAACAGATTTCTGGGAAAGGAAGGGAACAAAAGCAAATGGGAAGATCAAGAAACGCACGCAAACAGAAACATCTTCCTCCCGGGAAGACGTCACCTCCGAAGTAAGAGCCGTCGCTCAGTTTGGTCTCCTTGTTGCCACGGGTGAGCACGCTGACACGGCCGTGCTGGATGAAGTACATCTTCCTCCCGACGGTGCCCTCTCGGATGATGAAGTCGGCCGGCTGGAAGACTTCGAAGCGAAGTTTGGTGAGCACGGCGGTCACAAAGTTGGGGTCGGCGTTGGCGAACAGCGGCATGTTGGCCACCAGGCTGCGGCAGTTAAAGCTCACGATCTCCTGCACACACGCACGGTGGAACAACATTTCTTGTCTATCCATTTTTTTTTTCATGTCTCTGCCTCTTGCTCCTGACTTTCCCTCTGCTGGGTCAACCAAATCACAACGGAGGGGCTCTTTGTGTTTTTAGTGTGTGTGTGTGTGTGTGTGTGTGTGTGTGTGTGTGTGTGTGTGTGTGTGTGTGTGTGTGTGTGTGTGTGTGTGTGTGTGTGTGCGTGAGTGCGTGCGTGCGTGTACCTCTTTAAGCGGCTCACTGAGCTCTCCCAGGATGTTCTCCTCATCAAACATCTTCCCTTGGAAGCGGTGCTCATAGTACTCGTGGATTTTTTGACGCACGTCTGCGGGAAGCTTGTGGAAGGACATGTACTGCTCCACCTGCTTGTACTGCACACACGCACACACAAGCTTCTTTATGCTTATTGAACAACGT